TCGGATGCCAAAGCAAGGTAAAGACACTAAATCGACCATACACTACAAAAAAATAGCTATCATAACGGTCAAAATGTGATTTTTTACTCGTCCAGAAGCTCAAAATCATCAATCAACAAATCTCTCCTAAGATTGAACACAACAGCACATTGATGTACCGGACATATCATTTTCGATAGCTAATGAGTCAATTCAAATTACTACACCATTGATATCTTGAAAAAATCACTATAGCTTAAGTATCTTGGCTTTCGATTTAGTGCAAAAACTTTTGGATCAGGTGTTATAACTTATGATAAATTCTATATTTTTCTGATCAAGTTTTGAAAAAAGTTTCTGATAATTTTAAATATACTTCTGATCATTGTCCTTTTTTTTCTGATCAATTTTGGAAAAAGCATTTCTGATCATTTTAGATATTTTTCGGCTAATTTCCAAATTTTTCTGATCTGATCATACGTATTAGGTTTTTTTCTGATCAAATTAATAAAAAAAATTTCTGATCATTTAGATGAATATTCAAATCTTGGAAAATTTGGCGAAATGACTTCGGGTAGGGCGATTTCAATTGTAGATTTTATGTAGTTTAATGTAGTGTTTTTACTTTTTTTATGTACGAACAATTTTTTTGAGTAATCGGCTATCGAAAACTGTTATAAAATGGAACAACTCAAATCTTGGTCAAAAAACGTATTTTCCACAAATCGAATTTTTTTTCGAATGAAGAATGGTTCCAAAAAATTGTAGATAAATTGTAGAATTAAAATCGATTGTCTGTTTTCGAATATGTCAGCCCATTCGTTCGATATTGAGACGAGTCATGAAAATTGGTCCAAAATCGGTAATACTCAAATCTTGGCCACAAATTGAAATTTCCACAAACCTCTTTTGTTGCGAGGTTCCATAAAATTGTAGAAAAAATGTAGAATTCAAATCAGTCATCCGATCCTTGATGTTTTCAACAACTTTTTTGGCTCCAGGGGAGTTTAATATTTAATATGGGAATAAAACTGCTATAAACTGCTATAAAACGTGTTTTAATAATTGAAGTAACCAAGAATAAATTGTAGTGGCTCGAAATTAATTGTAGAAGCACCTACAGTTATTTTAGTGGTCGAAAATTGATTGTAGAAGCACCTACAGTTATTTTAGTGGTCGAAAATAACTGCAGCACGAACGAAGCTGCGCGCGATTGTGTGTTACACTCTTTCGTTCAAACCATATTGACACATGCACACAGCCATCGTTCGACTCCGTTTGCGTGTACGCTATACGCGGCTGTATGTATGCGTCAATATGGTTCGTGTGTTTCGTTTTCTCGGTTTATCTCTTCCCATTCGTTCGTCGCATCAGCGTAGCCGCTACTTGCAAACAGCAAAAGATACGTGCTACTCGCAGTAGCTCCGCGATATAACGAAATATATTTTGAGAGCAAATGAGACCTCTGAAATAAATTAAAGAAAAAAATTACATGAATGAAAGAAAGAATGAAATGAATGAATAAAAGAAAATAAAATAGAATTACCTTGTATCGCCGATTCCCAAATGATTTTCAATCGCAACAATCCGCTTAAGCAATGGAGCCATCGCTTCTTGCACCGCTTCTTGCACCATGTTTTGCACCGCGTTTTGCACCGCTTCTTGTACGATTTGTATAATTTCCTCTTTGGAGAGACAACGAGTGTGAGAGGGAGATCGGTCTCGGGATATGGATGGGCGATTTGGAGAGGATCGGAGATTTCAGAGAGGATCGAATTGGCTGATTTGAGGGATGGTTTCATTGTATGTTCACCTTTGTTTGGTGCATTTGGAGTAGTCCAGAGTGAATGGCAGAGGTATCGAGTTGTAGAACTGTGAATGAAAAATAAATGAGTAAAATATTCTCATATAATTTATACTAAACATACAGACCACTTCAATAGCTGTAGGTGCTTCTACAATTATTTTCGGGCCACTAAAATAACTGTAAGTGCTTTTACAATCAATTTCCGACCACTACAATAACAACAATTCAATTATTTCCGGGCCACTATAATAACTGTAGGTGTAAAGGTGGCAAAGGGACAAAATTTGTTCGTCCGTCCGTCCTTCTATTGATTTGGGACAAACGGACATTTGTCCTAATGTCCCATTTCAAATTAGGACAAACGGACATTTGTCCTAATGTCCCATTTCAAACTGGGACAAACGGACAAATTTTTAAAATGACTTATATAGCTTCATTTAACCCTCAACTGCATGAATTTTTCCCAGACCTGGGAATTATTTTCCTGGTTTATTTTGATGAATAATTAACGGAAAAAATATTGGTTTTTCCGGAAAATGAAGAAAATTGTGAAAATTGGTTGGAAAACTGTTGCCCGCCAAAAGGCGGTTTCATGCAGGAAAGACATAGAAAATTTGATTTTTTTTTTTCAATTTTTCAATGAAAATACCAACTTTTATTCGGAAAATCAATAAAAAAGAACAAAAACTGAATGCTAACGATCCAAATCATTTAAGATTGTGTATGAAAATCAAAGAAGCATGATTTGGTTGAGGAGTTGCACAAGTTTACTTGGCATTTTGTGCAATAACCTTGTGTTTCGGATTTGCAACCCGGAAATTTGCACGTCTTTTTGCCGTCTCGATCCAAAAAACGACACCAATGACCCACTTCATCGAACCGAACTTCATCTGCTGGAAGGTATGCTCTCTTCTGTGTCTTTTTCGGAATTGGCTCTTCTTTGGTTGATGGTCGGCCTGGACGCTTCGGGGCGCCTTTTCCCATACCACACATCACTTCGGCAACTTGACTCCGGAAATCAGGCAATTCTATTTTGCTTTCGCGTATCACTCGTTGATACAGAAAATGCGAATTCACCAAAGCAACGTCGATGAGGTGGTGAAATAGTCGATTTGTCCACTTCTTCGTTCGCATTCGTATGAAATAACGGCCAATCAGTCCATCCATCAAATCGACACCACCCATGTGTGCGTTGTATGCGGTAATCAAGCGTGGGCAATCGATCTCTTTCCGTGTTTTGGATAATTTATCCCAACGACTGACTTTGTTTAGTTTTCGTCGACGATCGAATTCATCTTTGAATGGCAAAACGCCAACGTATGAAGACAGCAGTCGCACGGCTTTCGTGTCATTCCATACAACGGAAGAAATGGTGCAACCAAGAATATTCGCAACATATTCTTCACTGTAACCACGCTCTTTGCGTTTCATCGCTTCATCGTTTGGCAACTTACAATTCGGTATGCGGTTGCATCGTACCGTTCCCAAGGAATGTATACCGCGGCTCCGAAGATAAATCACAAGCGCAGGTTTCATGAAGAAGTTGTCGCAGTTGATGATTTGATTCACAAAATCAGGCACACCTTGCGTCAATCGAACAACGACGTTTGATGCAGCACCAAGGTCCGGAGCGTTCTCAAGCACAACATTGTCTTTGGCACCTAGTACATATTGGAGATTCAAGTGAATGCATTCATTCATTCACAATGTGGTCTTTGTTTACCTGTGTATACTTCAAATGCATGGCAGAATCCATTTGAATCACATAATGCGAACAGTTTGAACCCCCATTTGTGTGGCTTTTTCGGCATATATTGACGGATATTTGATGCCTTCATTTTCGTGCGACACATTTGTTCATCAACAGACATCTCTTGTTCTTTCGGAATCGTTGCAAACCGTTCATTGAAGTGTTTGATGAGTGGACGAATTTTGTACAAAACATCATAATCGTTTGCACCGCGCTGTGGCATTTTTGATGAGTCAGCAAAATGGATGAATCGTCGCATTTGTTCAAACATATTGACCGCTAGGGGCATTTCACTCGCATTCGAATACATGATCATTCGTGCACGAATCCTGCATTCGCAAAAAACAGTATAAGTATTTGCATTCGCACCATGTATTCGTACTGCCGCGCGAGCATTCGCGCGACTCCGCATATGAAACGTATTGAAACACTCGCACATGTATTCGTCGCGAATGCGCTCAGTTGCGATGAAGTGTCAAACACAGTCAAATATGTGGAAAGATGTCAGACGTGTTTGAAAAATTACAACGTGCATTAGGTGAACCTCTACCAGAAATTTTACAATTGATTCTCACACATTCTGGATTTGATACAGAAAGCGCATTAGCTACGTTAAATACAAGCATTTGCGGTCGCAGGTGTCCGATTTTTTGCAAATTTGTTTCCGTTTGATTACAATTCTTGATTAACTGTGGCAACTGGATGATAAGCGATCGGTGACCCTGTTTAAATTTAAACTTATTCACATTCTCGTATGACATTTCTCGTATGGCGCACCTAGTTTTTGATTTGCGCCGCGCAAACCCTTTTTTTCGATTTTTTGCAAAATTTACACTGGATGAACTCAGAAATGTGAGCCACTTACATGGCCTCGGGCGCCAATCGGGATGGCCTGGAATGTTTGGCGAAGAAAAATTGACTGTGAAGGTGGTGCGACCGGTGTTTTCAACAAAAACGTTTCCAAATCCTAATCACGGTCAATTTTGACAGTCGGAACTAATTGTGCCAATGCATCGATTTGCCGACGACGTATCGTGTGGATCGAGCTGAGATGGTCGATGGTAACAGATCACGACTAGTTTGATCAGCAACACCGAAGTCTACATTCGATTCAAGAAAACGAAGCACCATTAGTGGAAATTTGTCCTTGGCGATGCGTTCGGTGGAAACTTTGGCTAAACTACCAAAATCGACCATGAAATGCCATTGGCCACCGAAATTTGAACAGCCCAGGGGGTCATAAAAAATATTGTCATTGGTGAGTTCTTCTAGTGCATCTAGAAGGTGGAAGATGTAAATTAATTTAATGACAATATTTGTTTTTTTTATGACCGCTCCTAGAAGAACTCACCAATTGTTGCACTTCAATATTGACTACAATCGTAACTAATTTTGATGAAAACTCCATTTTATATTGTGGTCGCTGCACAGCGGTCTATTGAACGCTCCAACATATCAATGTAAAACCGAATGCTCTACTCTACTTTTTATCATTGAATCGAACATAATGTGCAAGAAACAACAATGAATCGTCAATAATTTTACATACTCCATATAAAAAAAACTCTATGTTTCAAATTTATTTTCACTCAATTTGGCAGGTCAACATTATTCTTACCGATTCAATTAGTCTCTATGATCGCGCAGAATAACTCTCACTGACCTCCGAGTCAATGACACTGTTGTTCTGGGCTGGCATTTCGTACAATTTACGTTTCCTTTCCCATTTATTATACCATTTGGTGGTCAAAATATCATAAAAATACATAAATGCCAGAATTATTGACGTTCCTATACATTTTGACCACAAAATGGTTAAAATAAATTCGTTTTGTCCTTTTTTGTGGATTGGACCGTCCATATTGACTTTGTAAGGATAAATTTTCGATTTCCAATTTACTGTGAGTGATAAATCGGATGGTACTAGAAAAGTTATGAGTAAATGTTTAGTACAGTAAAACCTCTCTATAACGGAAACTCTATAAAGCGGAAACCCCCAGTTAGCGAAAAAAAAATTTCGCCGTTGACGGTTTTCCTACAAAATGACCTCCCAATAACGGAATTTGCACCTCCAGTTAACGGAAAATCATCCCATTGGCCCAAAATTTTTTTATTCAAAAATCGTAAAAAAAATTCAATTTTCGCCTCACAAACGCGCAATATCTAAGTGTATAATATCGATATGTTGCTAGTGCTTATTGTTTGCATTATTTAGATGACTTTGAAGTATTTATTGACCCATATTAAACACAATTCACAGATGCATAAACATTAGAATTGCGAGCGAATCAAATCATGTGCCACACTATCAAAAATAAAATAAACCCGACATTAAATGCAAAAAATGATGTGGCCCACAATAACTCTCCGCTCATGTTGTCATGGACTAATTACTTTTTCGCACGCCCATGTCGTGAGTAAAAGTATTGTAATCACTCCAAAACCTAGGTACCCCGAAAAACCATTTTTCTATCCATTTTCGACACCAAAAAGCACGATACAGTGGTTATTTTGCTATGTTAATGTGGGTGTGTCGTACCCTGTACGCTGTGCGCTGTACGCTGTACGCAAAAATTTGTTAGCACGATTGCTCAAATACCAGAGTAGGAAACGAAATTCTGCAAGTACCAAACGTTTGTACTTTGTTAGACTTGGAAACCATTAAATTTCCAGCCACCCCAGATGTACCCTAGGATACCTAGCCTATGAAAAACCTTCAAAAAATCGAACTTTTGTTCGGGAGGTACCCAAAATAGGTTACCCAGGTGGGTTTTATCATGTCCACCCGATTTATTTCATCAAAATAATAGGGGCCAGGAACAACCTAGTGACCGCTAACCCACCTTTTTGGTATTAAATCGGTATGTTAGTTTAAAATTTCTTGAAAAATCGAACTTTTGTTCGGGAGGTACCCAAAATAGGCTCCCAAGTGGATTTTATCACTCCCACCCGATTTATTTCATCAAAATAATATGGGCCCAGGAACAACCTAGCACCCGCCAACCCACCTTTTTTTCGCATCCAATCGGTATTGAATAGTGATTCTGATAGCGAATGTGATAGCGCCTCTGAAGTCTCATTTATGCTCAACAATGTGGATTTTTTCGAGTTGGAAGAGGATGGATTTTACTACGAAATCGGAGACTTGTGTGAAACTACAAAGAATACAGATCTAGAATCAATCACAAATCAAATTGTTGGAACAGAATTCTTGAATGATTTGTCAACCGATATGTTCATTATAAATTTGGTGAACGCAAACAGAACCATACCATTCAATATGCATCCAGTCTGCTATGGACAAAAACAAGAGCGATACAAACGACTTCTAGCCGAACGAGACGATCTGCAAATAACATATCAGCGGCCAGGCCAGCTTTCTTGGCCATTACACCACAGTTCACTATACAGTCTACACGGGGAGGGCAATCATGGCAAAAGATTGGACGTATATCAACGAAACATCCTCACTCGCCTGTGCCCCGGAGCACAGTATCAATTCATCGAACCGGCAACGTTGCAACCAGATGGATGTTCCTGTGGCATTTTCTCGATTGCATACGCCACAACCATCATTTCGGGACACAACCCCGCAACATACCATCTAAAAATCAATCAGCACGAAACAGATAATTTAAAAAATACCAGCGAACTACGAAACCACATCAAAAGAATATACGAAACAAATGAATGGTAAGACTATTTATTACGTGCATAAATTATCGTTGTACGATGTCGTCGGGACCAGTGCCGTCTTAGCACTTTCGGGGGCCCTGAAGCAAAAATTTTCCGGGGCCCTAAATTTTTTTCTCAATAGCACAAAATTCAATATTTCGAATGTTGCGCCAATTTCGATTGAATTCAAAAAGATGAATTCAGAGTTACTAAACTATACCGTTTTTCATTTCTATTCGTGAGACGTAAAAGAATGTATGTTTTTTGTCGATTTATATTTTTGAAAAGGAAAGTATGTTTTCTGTTGATTCTATCTGCGTTAAAAGGAAGTATGTTGGCATCCCGTCTAGCCTCCGCGGTTTTTCACGGTTTCCGCGGAACTGATAAGAGATAACAACTTG